AAAATTTACATCTGGTACCAAATTCAAATTTAACCTTTGAGCCCTGATAATTATCAATAAAGTTACATGTACTATCATTCAACATGCTCAATAAAAATTAATGAAATGTAGTTGAAGAAATGACACAAAAAGGAAAACATGATGCAACTTGACAAATGTAACCCTGGCTTGGAAACTAATCCAATAAAAATTTAATTAGGACACAACCGAGATGTCTTTTGGACAGGAAAAAGTTGCATAACTTGGTGACACACATTTTGAAGTACATGTACTGTTTTTTTCAATACATGTTCATTCTTCCTGGCAATAGTTCTACATGTACTAGCAGTTTCTTTGTCCAAGGCCTCAAAAAAGTTCTTCCACTGATAATAACTACACTGTACTATCATTGTTGTAAGGGCACAAGGATGTCTACCTGTGAAACCAACAAGTATAATTATAAGAGTTATTAAGTACATGTAACTATTAAAGCTAATTGGAGTCTGTGGAACACAGCCAATGAGATAATGTTAGCATGAATGCAATCATAAACATGCCACAATTTCAAACACAGAACTAAGTAGATTTCTGAAATTGTTACATTGTACCTCTTGCTTGTTGAAGCAAAACTCTCACTTTTTGATTGACTAATGTAAAACAATACTGCAAGGATGTAGCTGAGGAAAGCTAAACAGCCTTTGTTTTGGTCAAGCTGGATTTTTGACTTAACTGCACCTTTCAATTGACCCCATGTCTTTGTTTTCCAGAGTAATTTGAGCCAAGGGCTAAGTCTTTTTCAGCCAGTGAAATTACAGTGTAGCCAGCAGCCAGCTATTAGGGACATCCCTAATACAGCATGGATGTCTTTAGGGAAACTGGTAACAAGTAACACAAACACATGAATTGAGTTGTGGTTTCCCTTATTTCTTTCAAATGGCATCCAAAATGCTTTCGGAAGAACTAAAACCTGATTAATAAGATGAAAAGCAACAGTCCTAAATGATATAGTTCAAGTTACTTGTGTGCCAAGAATGAAGTACCAGTTTATTTCTATTGCTGTTTTGCAGCTAAATTAGTGATCAAACATGAATCAAAATTAAACCCTGTGGAAGTGGTTACATTCCTCCACCCCTTTCCCCTCTGGAATTTCCTGAGCCTCTTACCTAGGCCTCAGGCCCAATGCTCAAAACACTGAGGTATGGATAACCTTCAAACATTTTTGTGATCATTTTGATGTACCTGGTATCAGTTTTTAAATGCCTGAGGTAACGAAAAAGGATTAATGGCCCTCAAGATTAAAACTGTCAAGAAAGCTGTGGAGTATTTTTGGGAAGGACAGGCAGTCTCTCTCTGGTCTGAGGTAGTGGGTCAGCAGTCTGGAAATTATGTGCTTCCCTAGAAAAAGCCCTAAAATGCGATTTTCAGCATTCTGAAAATAGAGAACAAGAGCGTGTTTTTCATTCAAGAAAATATAGCTTTCATTCAACTTTTGAATTATCAGTCACAATCAATTCCTACAAGAAATGAACAAATGATATAATGAATGTACCTTTGCACTTCAACAAATTCTGCGTAAACCTATGAAGAAACTTGTGACAAATTGACTGAAATAAAGCGTTCACAAAAATTTTTATGACTAAAGCATAACATAAAGCCAGTGGGCCTTTAAGAAAACACATCGTAATAAAGTTTTCATTCAGAGTTTATGATATATTTTTTTGTTGACAACATTATTCAAACTAGTTGCTTCTCCTTTCTAGAAAAAGTAGCCGAAGCCAACTTCTATAAGCAAAGTAGCCGACATGTTTCATCGGCCGTCAGCGCTTACTGAAACCCCTGGTGTATACTTCACAGTACATATTTGTCAAATGCGAAAAAAAACAATTGCTCTTTCTAAAACTTGTGTACTTTATGACATCTCAAACTTCTCTTTAGAAGCTCATTTGTGTCAAGTTTGCACTTAACAGTTTATCAAGCCAATAACAGCATGACCACAAGTGAAGTTGATTGGCTAACACTGATACATTCTGCAGAGGTAGAAAACCTCAGTAAAAGCATCTCCATCAGGCGTATCTTTCCCTTTGCTCCCTACCCTTTTAATTTCTCTCTTCTCTTGTCAACCTTTACGCAGAATAATAACAATTCTGTTACCCTTAACAGTATTTTAAGAACTAATGCTAGTGGGTCAGAGCAGATGCATGAAACTTGTAATCTTAATCAAACATACCCGGGTAAGAATCGCAACTGATAGGAGGCGAACCAGTTGGCTGAATTTGGGACTACCAAGAAGAAATCCAGCTAGCGGTCAGAACAGGATTGAACCTGGGGTCCCTGAATTGCAAGTCTAGCATTCTAACCACTCAGCCACGTTGAAATGCGTAATACTCAGGTGGTTTTTAAGCACAATATTTAACATCCTACCTGGTGAATTTCTTCCTTCAACTAAGGCTTCAATGTAGGCATCATTAGGGGAATCAGTCCAGACACTGTAGATTGGTGTGGGAAAAGGGTTTAGTTTTGACAGTGAATAGCTGCAAAGAATACGACATAATCTCCCATTTCCATCCGAAAAAGGATGAAGATCAAGAAGTTCTAGGAGAATCCAAGCACAGGTTTTGAAAAAATCACACAAATCCTCAAAATTTGTCAGTCCATCCTTCGTGCAAGTATCAAACAGAAAATTGTACTTGTCTAATAAGTTGACAACTGCGCTTTCCATATCCTCAGGGTTCGCATAGTAGTAAATTTCTCCTCGAAATTCGGTCATCCGAGGCTTGTTGCTCATTTCTCCAGGTTTCGTCAAACCCTTTGGAAGAGGAATGTCTTGTAAGATAACACGATGTATCTCTTTTAGTAAACTTGCTTCTAATAGTCCGTAGTCTCTATCTAGTTCTTCCCCCTTTATTTTAGCTAACAAATTTTCATATGCATTCCTCATGTTTAGAGTTTCTTGTTCTTCGAGCGACAAGGGAAGTGGGAACTCTCTTCGAGATAAAATTCTTCCCAGAAAGCTTTTCGTTTCATCAAGCGTGCGAAGTCCATGTTCCTCTTCTAAGTTTGAACGGAAAATAAAGTTGACTAGAAACTGCTCCTCTACCTTTTTGACTACCTCTTGATCGTAAGTGTCATCTTTTGTTGCTGTATCCCATCTTTTTCGATAGTTAGCTATCTCGGAAATCATTTCTTCAACCGTCATCTGTGACGCAGTAGTTGACGAAGATTCCACAGCGTCGAAGGAAATGAGATGTTTTACTGGATATTCAGCAACCTTACCCATAGTGATGAACCAGCTAGCAGAGTTCACTAGGTCTGAAGAAGGAGAGTTCCTTGGGAGCAAATTTGGGAGCCAAAATTGAAATGTGTTTCACTCGCCGAAACGGACGCGCGGGATGATAAAGTTCAACAAAGCGGTGACGTCATTTTCCAACCGTCTCAGTGATATCCGCGTGAGCCCGCGCTCCACCGTCATCATCATTTATAGCAATGATAGCATTACATATTATTAACTCCCCAAAATAAATATTATTATTTGTAGGAATATTAAAAAGAAGACATTTATATATGCAAAGTACGTACTTTTCTATTTGGAAAGACCTTCTGTACATGAACCGTTACTCAACAGGGAGGTATAAAGCTATAGTATTGAAATGTAAGGATTTGTCATGATTTGTAAGGCAATAAACACAATGTACAGTCAGTAAACTGTTTTTTTTAGTACACCCACGTATATATTTCAACCAGGAGCCGCTCTGGTCTATAGTTTTAATATTTAGGTCCAGAGTATATTTATTCAGTGTACGTCATTAACTTTTCTTCACAGCCTAGTCCATCTTTCACTTTTTTAATAATCTTTAGTTTTATATATAAATTTAATTAATTTCAACCTGGGTCTTGGACCTAGCCATGGGGCTAGTGGATGTATTTTGTTCTGGTCTGCATTAGTGAACTTAGGCAACAGGATGGGAGAGGAGAGATGATGGCAAACCTTGTGTGACAAGCATGACAATAATTTTGTTTGAAAAAACCTTCCATAACTTCACATTTCCTTTAAACATATCTATTTGTAGAAGAGCAAAAAACATCTATGCTAAGTGAATAATTTTCAACAAAACACACAAGTAGCCCCGTCACATTTGTGACACTCATTCACTTTACTGTCCTCTTCTTTCTGCCATCCTGTTGAGTAAATTCACTATTTAGGCCCAGAGTTTTTAATTATTTCACTATAATTGTTCATGGCCTAGTCCATCTTTTACTTAATTAATGCCAGATAACTCCATGAAAAAGTTAAGAGGGATCTTTTTAAACAATCAACAAAGTTGATAAGGAAATTAAGGATCTTAGGCTGTTTGTTGGGAAAATATGATATATTCAATATGGCCCAGTTAAATAAATTAATGTTTGCCCAGAAAAATATTCCGTCAGTTATAGGGAAAAAATATAAACACAGGGAAATGTGTATTAAGAGGACTGGCTGAAGCAGCCTGCTAGTATTCAGCAAATCCAAGTGTCAAATTCAACTTTTGTCCCCACATTTTCTAGACAGAAGGTAATTTTATTGGTGTCGCTACATGTTTCATTAGCTGGAACCTTGTTTAATTGCTAGCCCACTTAGCTAAAGCCAAATCCAAATATTGACTTTACAAATGGTACAGACTGCAGTGTGTAATGCATGACTAGAATAATTACAAGGTAATTACACTGACTTTATTCAAAACACCAAACTAGTTTAGTTTCAGTTTGACATGATTATAAACTTATGAGCTTGATGTTTGGGAATTCTGGTAATTGTATTCTTTGCATCCTTTTTACAAGGACGTTAAAACAACATTGTGTTTAAAAATATTTGTTCCATTTTACACTTGGTGACTAATTTGAAACTACTGAAAAAATTTTGTTGTGCCAGCTGGCATTAAAATTGAATTATTTATTAAGTAAACAATACTTGAAAGACTGTTCAAATAATAAGACTTACCAATAAAACTTTTCTTTTCTCTATAAAATTTCACTGTTATTTCCACATTACATGTACGGAAATGATTTAAAATTTAACTCAAAAACTTCCTTCTTTCAGAACCCCTGGTTAGGTACCACAATATCAAAATAACTTATTGTTGTTCAGTTTAAGACCGAGATACAGCACTGAAGTGCAGCGGCTTAATGCTTTTACAAAAATCAAGCTTACTCCAAAATGCATCAAATTTCTACTTTTTGGCATCTTCTTTGAGACAACTCGACTAAAAGTTGGGTGGTAGCTTTTATTTGTTTTCTCTTAACCTTCTTTTCTCTTCTAGTCTTTGAAAAAAATGCTTCCATCCATGGTAGCTACACTCGATTATCATGGTGGTTAAGGCAGTCGGATGTCTTTCATCTGTGTTTCTCGTATCATAGAGTGCCTTTTGATAATCATATTTGGTCGAATCAGTCCACACATTGTACACTGGAGTTGGGAAGGGTGAAAAAGTTGACAGCAAATAACTACTTAAAATCCTGCAAAGCCTTCCATTTCCCTCCCCAAATGGGTGAAGATCAAGAAGTTCAAATAAAAGCCACCCACATGTTTTGAATAGAAAGTAAAAGTCGTCAAAGTCTTTCAGACCATGTTTGGTGCACAAATCAAATCGTTTATTGCAGCCATCAAGCAAACGGGTAACGGCATTTTCCATGTGCTCAGCTTCTGGGAGATATGGATATTCGTACCACTCTCCTTCAAAATTGGTAAACCGCCTTTGGTTACTGAATATACCAGGTTTCGTGCGGCCATCTCCGAGAGGGACGTCTTCAAGTAGTATGCGATGGGTCTCTTGTAGCAGACTCGTTGCCATGAGTCCATAATCGCTGGGTAGTTCTTCTCTTTTAATTTTATCCAGCAAGTGTTCGTATGCTTTTTTCACGTTTAGAGTCTCCTGCTCGCTCTTTGAGGTGATACCTTTATCGTGACAGTTCTTGAGAAAGTCATCCGTTTCCTCGTAGGTTGAAAAGCCTTTTTCCTCCTCCATGTTCACGTGAAATATAAACTCAACGAGGAAGTCTTGGCGGACTTGTTCGATCAAATCAGATTCATAATTATCCTTTTTTTGTCCTTCCCATTCCTTACTATACTCTATTATTTTTGCTACCATCTCTTTGACCGGAACGTCTTTCGTTTTGCGCCACTTGGGCGCTTCCAATGCCTCAAATGGGAGCAATTCCTTCAACCGTCGCTTCCTCTCTTGCGCCATGATAGTGCACTATACCTAAAGTGTGCCATAAACGTGCTTGCCTCGTTCCAAACCTCGCACAGGCTCCCAGCACATTCCACCAGACTCTCAACACAGATAACCCAGGTTCTGTGATGGTACTACCGGTTCGGATTACAGCCTGTGAACAAGCTGTCTGTTTGGCGAAAGGGTGTTAACAAGCTAGGAAAATTACAGTGTTTGTATGGGGTAAAGTTACGATCCTAAAATTTGTAGGAAATACCAAATAAAAGTCAATGAAACTTACTCTGCAGCTACTAGAAAAGTGATGGGGTGGTGGGGGGGGGGGGGGGGGGGAATTTT